CAGAGGTTCTCATCCGTAAATTGCTCTTCGCTGACGATGCAGCTCTGACATCACATACGGAAGAAGAACTTCATCAGCTGGTATGTCGCCTCTCCCACGCCTGTAAAGAGTTCGGACTGACCATCAGTTTGAAGAAGACGAACGTCATGGCGCAGGATATGGACTCCCCTCCAACCATCACCATTGATTAGTACAACCTTGAAGTTGTTGAGAACTTTACATACCTTGGGTCCACCATCTCCAGCTCGCTCTCAATTGATGCTGAGGTGAACTGCAGGATTGCTTATGCAGCAGCAGTTATGCCAAAACTGAACCAGAGGGTCTGGAACAGTCTCAACCTCACTGAGAAGACCAAACTGCGTGTCTACCAGGCATGTGTGCTCAGCACACTCCTCTAAAGTAGCGAGGCATGTACACGAGCCACGAAAGGAAACTCAATAGCTACCATCTGAGATGCCTGAGACGCATTCGGCGCATCCAGTGGCAGGACAAAGTATCCAACACGGAGGTTCTGGAACGGGCCAGCATGAATAACATGTTCGCCATCCTCAGTGAGAGGCGCCTTCGATGGCTCTGCCACGTCAGGAGAATGGACACAGGCCGCATTTCCAAGGACCTGTTATACGGCGAGCTAGCAGAAGGCACACGACCGACTGGACGACCACGTCGGCGATACAAAGACGTCTGCAAAAAGGATTTAAAAAAGGTCAACATCAGCGTCAACAACTGGGAGAGCTGTGCTAACAACCGCTACGAGTGGCGACATGCTGTGAGACAAGGCATTCAGAAAGCTGAGGAAGAAATAATTGCAAACCTCGCTACAAAGAGGGCCAAGAGGAAGGCGAACCAACATCAGCCCCAACAAGAATCCGTCTTCACCTACTGCAAGTGCAACAAAGATTGTCACGCAAGGGTCGGACTCTTCAGCCACTCACGACGGTGCAGATAAGGCACCAAAACAGGGAGCTACAACATCGTCTCTCGAAGACGGACGGATGCCAACAACCAACACATGAGATTTTGCTACGTCATCTTACTAAGAATATAAACATACGATTCGAGTCCTTTGCTGTTATGGCGTAATTACCATACAACGGTTTCAAAGATTTCCGCGATATTAATTTTTTATTGCTTGTTTATCCTCATTTATAAAAGAGTCACATTTCTTAAATAGAAGAGACAACTGGACATACTTGTGGTTTAGGATTACAGATAATAAAACAAACAAACCAAATAAACAATAAATAAACAGTTGATATCCATTTCCGTTTACCGAATTTAATTACTGAATACGCTGCTGGTAACACGCATTACCTGAATTGGGCTCCCACGAAAAGTTTGTACCGAAGTATACCGTGATATTTCTAAAAATACCGCGATACCATGGTATAAGCATGTGTATTTTGGACCAATATTTAAATATCTTAGCACAGTGGCCTGACACTTTTATTTTTTTTTATTTAAAAGAAGTCCTTCAGTAAATAGGTGGAAAATGTCTTGCTGTGATTTATAGCAAAATAACACCGTATTACACCCTTTTCATTATTTTATAAAAACGTTATCTTGAAATAAAAGAAAAAAATCTCAACTCAAAGAAACTCCCCCTCCCTCAGTCCCAACGTTAATATATCAGGTCCTTAGTGCAGATGAACTCATTAAGAGTATATTAAAAGTTGAATAATATGTTTTCCAAGAGATGATTTACCTTACCTTAGAAATTGTGCTGCAGTTTAACCATACGTTATAGCTCACATGAAATATATGAGACAGGCAGAGGCTCAGCGCGCGAATTTTGTGTAGATAAGGACCAGGCAGGTCACAATCACAATATAAGGACCGGTCCAGTTAGAATGGACACATACGGAACTAATGAGGTATATAATACTGTTAGAAATGATGAATTTTATTGCATTTTGAGCATCATATATCTCGATCGTTTCGGAAAGCTTGATATTAAACGTGTGTGTTATCGTCCTGTGTGATGGAGAAGACAGAAAACTCGTTGTTTGTATTACGTGTAAGATCGAATTTTTCTCTATGTGATGAGTTTAGACGATGATATATGTACGTATGTACTTGATTAGGTACAGAGTGGTCGTATAACTGTCATTCAGATCATGATCCAATCAGCTGCCATAAACATTGCCTTCTGGAACATTACATTGGTATTAAAACAAACGCAGGAGACAAACAATTTTATTGATCATCACGTTCATTATTTGTGTAAAGTTACACCGGAAGTCTTAAGCAAAACAATTGCCTCCAGTCAATTTATCACCTGCCATAGAGATGAAAAATCAATGGAAGTATGAGTAAGGAATACAATGGACTTTATTTGTTTACTTTCCAGGAACATACACTAAGAAATCCGCACCATATAGTGATCACGATAATATACCTAATATACCTAATGGATTTGAAAATGTCATACATGATATGTCTATGGAATTCATGAATTTGTTATGTTTCTTGAAATAATAAATTTCTTTCATGGGTAACAGCTGTATTGAAACGTCGTGTGTGATACACAAGAAAAGGTTTATCAAAAAACTTGATAATTTAGGGTCAGAGCGAAGTCACAGGAACGAATATTTAAATTAAGCATAAATCCTTTATCTACGACTATTCTTATCTTTGTAATAACTGAATCTGCCAGAGAGATCATCAATAGCGGACTTCTCTATGTCCATGACGTTCATCACATTTGGAGTCTTAATGATATAAGCAAACTGTCCTTCTCTCAGCCAGCTGGTATCTAAGCCAGACCTATAGGCTTCTTCTACGTCACGGTCTTTGCGTAGACATGTATATGTTTATTCATGCACTGTTGCACGCGATGGACCTCCTGATTTTTAATAACTACGGCACATAAAGTTGCTGCAAAAATGTATGTTTTATTTATGTATAATTTGCATATACAGTTCACTGAGCTGATATACACGATTGGTTCTTTTTTTAAAAAGGCTGTCTAACATAAGATTCAATCTAACCATCTTGATATTTTAGGCACAGAATTTTCGCATCTTTACCATTAATGTGTGGTTTGCATAGAATTGACGGAAACACCAAATTGTATCTGTTATGAACATATATTAATCATGTCAACGAGAATTTCAGCGCTTAACAAGTTTACTCACGATAATGTAAAACATTGAATGCTAGAGTGAAAATAGTGTGACATAATCGACTACATCTGACGCACTTTTCGCAACAGTAATTTATTTTTAGATCGTTATGATTCGGGGACATATCTCTTAAGGAATCCTTTTCTTGTTTTATGTATTGTCAGATGTGTGTATTATTTCACTTTTTTGATATTGTGTGATACCTGAATTTGGGTCACTCTATCCGTAATAAAACCCTAAGTGCAGGCTTCTTAAATTCATCAGGCTGTTCGCATGTAGCAATAACCTGTCTTTATCCTTCTGTCACTCTTATGTGTCTTATGAAAGCATTTGTTTAATGTATTTTTGTTCTTGACATCATAGGAACGTTTTCTGGACGCTTGGTTTTGCAAGATATGTTTTTCTCTCTCTCTCTTGATCTTTGAAGCAGCTTTGATAGAGCGGATCAAAGGAACAAGATAAAATTTAAATAGAGATCAGTCTTTTAATTGTACTAATTTCTTAATTAACGTTACTAATTACACCAATAACTTTAACAGCGTCCGTCAGTGCTTAAGGGTGTCTTCCCCCCAAAATATAAAAAACTAGTTGCTTCACAAAACCTCACTCGACTATAAATCTTTATCGAAAATCCAGTAAAAAGACTTCAAACAAGACTACTAATCAGGGTTGATAACTTATCAGACAATATACTGAGCATAATTTTATGAAATAATTTTCTTTGTATTTGGAAAAGGTTGTAAAGGTTATGATATAACTATAATGCTTACTTTGTTAAAAGTCATTTTCATTGTCATATCTGAACTGTTTACATTAAGTTTCAGGCATCCATATTTAGGCCTAAATAGATAACGTTACTATTTTCTTCCGTCTGTTCTGTGACGTTTTACGTCATTATTCAAGTTTGATATGACACTACAAGATTTGTAAAGTTCACAACATATGGGATACGTAAGGAAAAAATATCATAACAATGTTTGACAGTGATTACACATTCGGACAATATAATTAAAGATGATGCAAATATTCTTCAAGAGTATTTTTTGTCACCTGTATTAGTTAATTGATTATATTTATAAAATATTCGTTCCGGAAATATAATAAGGAAGAGGAAACTTTTGTATTTCAACACAAAAGTAAAGAACAAACCGGGATATATTGATGATCTCAAATGGGTAATGATTATTAATATTTGAATATTAAATCATTACCTATTTGAGATTCTTGTTATCACATAACCATATTTCGAATGGAAGTCATTTCGATAGCAAGAACGAATAATTTATGACAATTCTGATTGACGGTGTACCTTTCTTTTCTTGTACATAAAATATAGTCAAAAACAAAGTTGAACTGGCAAAGGTAGATTAATTTAATTTATAGTTTTTTAGAAAGTACAAAGAAAGAGCTTCCATACGAATAAGCATAATATTTTTTTTTACGACAAAACCATTTTTCAAAACAGACGATGCAATGATGAATGTGATGTGATGCTGCCAAATTGTGTGATATGGTACACAGTACACTCGGCTTAGAGTACATGTTTAACCGTAAACTGTCACTTTAAGAGCAGTTACTTTGTTGTTTCGTGAAATACAATTACTTGAAGCAAAAAAGTCCCTGATTTATTGATAGGCTTTTGTGACCTGATATTTGCAGTATTTGATGTGGAACAATAGATTGCATAGAAGACGTAAACAAAGTCATATTTGAACCAGATTTGCATCTGATATATACTGCGTAAAGATGATTTGGTTGGATAAAGTTCAGTCAGTTAGGAGACCAATTCATGTCCAGATTCTTCTGTGCAAAGAAGTGAGTTTATTTACGTCTTTAAGTTAACATTTAGACTACGCTTGTATATATAGTGGAGCC